GGGGGGGGGGGGGGATGTGTAAGTGTGTGTCTGACGGCCACCCTGCCTACTCGACTAACGCTCGTGCCATGATGTGCTTGCCGCGTTGCAACCGACCTTAGTGGCCGAGATCTGCTGAGGTGGCCTCACCCACACCTGATAGCAACCATCCAACAGCAAACATCCATGTGTGTGTGGCCAATGCTTGGATCTCTCCTTGTGCTCTGTGGGTGCTCTGGCAGCCTGCGTGTACGTATCTACGCTGCCAAACAGACACGGAACACGCACACGCGGAGGGCAGCAGCAAACAGGTGGATATGCAATGCGCTGCGAACGACCAACATACGAGCAGGCACTCAACGTGCAATCTCATGGAGCTTCGCCCGTGTAGCATCGTCACACTTAAGCAGCTTTTCCACCGGGGAGCGACCGGCACTGTGACACCGAACCGCTCTCCCTCTCAACCGCTATCCGACACGGGTGGGTGTCCAGATCTTTCTGGCCTGCGTGCTGATCCTCGGAAGGACGAGCACGACGGCGAGAGGGTTGGTCTGTTGGTGAGCCGGTGATGGCCGGAGATGCGAAGAAGGGTCTTTGGTGTCGGCTGGGGGAAGTGAGGGAGGTGTTCCATAGTGTGAAGGAGCGGCTGGTGGATGGGATCAGCGAAGGCTTTTATCGGTACACCTTGTTCGTCTACGACTACCCATGCTGGGTAAGGAGGCGAAGCAAAGGAGGGTCTCAAGAGGCTGCTTCATGGGTCCCTTGCACATGTGCCCTTTTGTCTGTCTGTCTGTCTGTCTGTGTGTCTGTGTGTGTGTCAGTTCATCTGGGTGCCTGTGTTGGTGGCTTTGTTTATGGGGGTTGGAATTCTCAACCGAACAGAGGAGTACGGGCCGATGAAACTGTACGCTCTCTCTGACTCGCAGGCCATGAAGGTCCGTCCACCAGACAGACACACAGATGTGTGAAGCCCTTTCTCTCCCCTTTGCTGCTGTCCTTTTCTCTGCTCAATAAGTCAGGATCAGGCCAGGCTGACCGAGCTGTTCGGCAACATGCCGAGGGTGACCTACCTGCTTGTGGAGGGCATTGACGGCCAGAACCTGCTGCAGCCACACATACTGCGGGCCCTCAACCGTTTGGACCGGCAGGTGGCCAACCTGACCGTCACTGTGGACGGGGTGACGTATGGGTATGAGGACCCACGATATGAGTCCGTGTGTGTCAAGGACGGCACCAAGCGGTGTGAGCATGAGAGCGTCGTGCAGCTCTACCCACCCAAGGAGTGGAAGACCGACTATGGCGACGGGAAGTGAGTGAAGTGAAGAGGGAAACAGAGGGAGGGAGGGAGGGTGGCGGGGACAGGGCATTACACGCACACACGCTGTGCTGGTTGTTATTTGTTTGTCTTTGTTTGTGTGCGTGTAGCTATGAGGTCGACTTCAACAAGAGCCTCGACTACCCGTACCACTACAGCGTGCGGTTGGACAGCAACTGGTCCCGCGAAAACTCCTCCAACATCCGTTGGCCCGTCCCCCTTCTCGTCGCTAACGTGACACTCGAACCGGAAGGATGCAACCTCGCCACTGTCAAGACAGGAATCGGAGGCGGAGGATGCAAGGTCAAAGCCGCTGAAGGTGAGCGAGCCATCGCTCGTAGGCATGCGCATTCGCATCACTCACTGTTCCTCTCTCCACCCCGTGGCGTGTGTGCAGCCCTGCTGTTCCGGTGGCTGCTGCGTCTTAATGGTTCGGATGACTTTTGGGATCCGGTGTTGCTGGCGTGGGAGCAGGCGTGGCTCGATTTGATGTGGGAGCAGATGCCGGTGTTCGACGAGATCGGCGTGAGGCTGGTGCGCAACGCCCGGCGGTCAATCGACGACGAGCTCGAGGAGAGCACGCGGCTGGGGCTGCTCGACTTTGCGCGATACGTCATCGGCGGCATCATCATCTTCTCATACTGCGCCATCGTCAACTTCTCCACCACACCGCACCGATCCAAGTATGCTTGTATGTGTGCCGCGGGATGGATGCGTCCACGTGTGTCCCCCCCTCTGTCTGAGTGTTGCAGGTCCCTGCCGGCGTTGTTTGGGTGTTTTGCGGTGCTGTGGGGGGTGATGTTCTCTGCGGGTCTGTACTACAGCCTGGGGTTCGTGCACGTGCCGCCGATCGAGGCGACCCCTTTCCTCTGCATTGGCATCGGCGTCGACGACACGTTCGTCATACTCAACAGCTACGCACTGGCCGTCAAGGTGACCGACCCTAGGGAGCGGGTGGCCGTCGCCATCAAAGACTGCGGTACGTTCTTGGATAGATTTGGTGTCGGAGGGAAAGCGTGTCGGTGCAATTGTCTCTGTCTCTCGGCGTGTGTCTGTATGTGTGTGTGTGTGTGTGTGGTGGATTCAGGCATATCGATAACGATCACCACTCTGACCAATCTGATTGCCTTTGGTGTGGGTGCGTCGAGCGACTACTTCTCCATCCGGCTCTTCTGCATCATCACCTTCTTGGCGCTGCTCATGGTCAGCCAGCCTGCCCCACAATAAACACACATATGTATACCCATGCACACACAGAGATGTCCCTGTCTTCCTCGATCCCCTTTCAGAGCTACTTCTACGCCCTCACTTTCTTTCTCGCCAGTGTGTGTCTGGACGCCAAGCGTGAGGCGGCCGGCAAGGGGCCTTACCTTGAGACATGGTGCAACACCTGCAGAAAGAGGAGGCGATCATCCACACCAACACCAACACCAGCACTAAAATTAGCACAACCGCCACCGCCACCAGCTGCTGAAGAACACCACGATCCAGAGCAGCCACAGCCGGACAGTACCACCGAGCCAGAGCAAGAGCAGGAGCACCATTCGGTGAGCATCTCAGCCGCCCACCCCTCCACCCCCCGCCGCACCTCCCCCCCTCCCGCCCCCCCTGACACCTTTGAGCTCGCGGCTCTGCAGCTCAAGGTGCAAGAGCTCACCATCAGGCAGAGAAAGGCCAGCACAAGCACCACAAGCACCACAAGCACCACGAGCAGCTCGCGACAACACGGGTGCAGCAGTGGCGGTTTCTTCGGCGTGCATCTGGGTTACGATGATGGGTGGGACGAGGCGCGGGACGGCCCCATGGCCGACGTGGTGGAGCCTGTGGGCACTGTTGGGCGGAAGGTGCGGTGGGCGTTCAGGCGCCTCTGGGGCAGATGGGTCACCATCCCTGCTGTCAAGGTAGACACACATACACACACATAGACACACCAAGGCAGAGGGAAAGATCATCTACCGTCCCTCGCTACATGTGCTTATGCAGGTGGTGACTCTGCTGTTGTTTGCCGGCTACATTGCCGTGTCTGTGTGGGGCGTGACGCGAATGACGACTGGTTTGGATCTCTTCTGGCTGACGCCTGAGGACTCGTACTACAGGGTGTTCTGGAGTCGGTACTTCACCAGCTTCACCTCCTACGGCGAGGACGTCTTTGTAGTCTTCCCAAACCGGCAGGAGTGGTGGAAGAAAGACGTCCGGGTGAGTGGCTGGCGCACACGGATCAATCAATGGGAGGACGGCTATAATGCGTTCATGTGCTGCCCTGCCCTGCGTGTGTCCACAGGAGGAGTACATGGCGTATGAGGATCGGCTACGGAGCAGCAGCTACGCGTCGGACCAGGTCCTCTCGGGTATGTATGAGTTCTACAAATATACCAAGGCCGCCCATGATGGAGATATGGACCCACAGGCATTCATCGACACGTAAGCTGTCTGGACTGCAGAGAGGGAGATACACAGACCTCCACACCCAAAGGTGCACACATGCCTCGATGTGCCCGTTCGCTCACAAACAGGCTGAGGAACTTCCTGAAGTTGCCGATGACCAAGATCCTCGCCAGCGACTTCAAATTCGACGAAGGTGAGATGCACCCCCACACACAGCGCTCGAGCACGGCCTCTCACGCCCCCATTTCTGTATGTGTGTATGTGTGTGTGTGTCATGCCAGAGGGCCTGTGTGCCTACAGGTTGCGTTTTTTCAAGAATCCTGACGTGTCGAGTGCCAAGCTGATGACGCGCAGCCGTGAGGACTGCCACATCGCAGCCGAGGGGCCTGGGGGGCTTGAGTGCTTCCCCTATGGCGAGTACTTCCCCTATTACGAGCAGGACGTGTCAATCGTGCAGTCGACCAGCCTCAACATGGGATATGCGCTCATCGCTGTGCTCCTGGTGAGTGGGGGCACCATAGAACGCATACAAGGGGAGATGGCGAGGTGTGTGGGGATGTGTCCATGTGTGTGTGTGTGTGTGTGTATGTTTAGGTGTCGATGTTCCTGATGCGGGATTGGCAGTGTTGGGTGTTGGTGATGGTGATGCTGGTGACCATCGACGTGGGCCTGTTTGGGTTCTTGGATTTCTGGGACCTGAAGCTCAATGGGTTGTCAATGGTCTGCCTCATCATTGGTGTCGGGTTCTCAGTCGACTACACGGTGAGTGAGTGGGGCAAAGAGCTCATCTCACACGTCATTCTTGTCACACTGCTCTCTCTCTCTCTCTCTCTCTGTGCTGTGCTGTGCTGGTAAACTTGCTCAGACCCACATGTGCCACACCTTCTCCCACTGTGTCGGGCCCACCCGCAACCACAGGTATGCAGCGGCCGCGTATGGGAGGAGGGGAATGGATTATGCATTTTGGCTGGTGATGTGTGGTATAGGGTTGCTGAGACGCTGATCCTGATGGGCAATCCGCTGCTGCAGGGAGTGTTCTCGACGTTCCTGTCTCTGCTGGTCATCCTCACCATGAGAAGCTTCATATTCGTTATCTTTTTCAGAATGATGACTCTTGTAAGCACAAACCACCCAAGACAGACAGACACACACACAATGCTCCGTTTCTCTCTCCCTCCCTGCCTGCCCTCAATCAACCATCAGGTCTTGTGGATCGGCTTCGGCCACGGGATTATCCTGCTGCCTGTTGTCCTGTCCCTCATCGGCCCAAAGAATGACCCCCACACCCACACCCACACCCACACCGCCCCTGAGCCAACCAAGACAATCTCGATGTGTGCGAGTGACAACAACAGTCGCGAGGGTGACAGCGGCACCAAAGGGGGGCAGCTGATCTTGGGGCAGCTGATTGTGGGGCAGTAGCCGGCGCCGTCTCTCTGGGACACAAGCGAAGGTGACGGCGTGACGACCGAGATCCCGGGCGGCATCCCGACTCTGGGGATGCTCGTTCGGATAAAGTGGCTGTCTGTCTGTCTGTCTCCTGCTGTGTGCGTCCGTCTGTCGTGTCTTTTTTGCGAATCTTGACGTGACGCGCCTGTGGACGCGCCCTTTTGGGTGCTCTGTCTGTTTCCATGACGTGCCATGATCATGTGTTTCATTATGTGGGGCGCCTCGCGCGGTGTATTTTTGGCGGCCTGTCGTGTGCCGTGGTCGGATGCACCACATCACATGCGTATCTGTGTGTGGGCGAGGTTGTGTGAAACTGGCGATTTGTGCGTCATTGCATGCGTCGTGGTCGGATGTATTGCACACGTGTCTGGTGGGCTGTTGGTGGCTGTCTTTTTGCACCACTTTGCGCGCCGCTCTCCCTTTTTGGTGGCTTGTGTGGCATGGGGGAGGGGAGCTCTACTCTGGCAGCTTGAGAGGGGGGGAGTGGTCCGTTTGATGACCATTGCCGCCATTCTGGGTAACGATGAGCGGTGTGCTGTGGGAATGAACAGAAAAGTGCGTGAGGGCGCTGTAAGCGATACGTGCGGGTAAAGTGGTGACTTCGCTGGCCTCTCGGGTGAAAACTCTCGAGGGGCAGGACGGCAAACCCTGTCCTCTGTCTGTCTGTCTCTCTGTCTCTGTCTCTGTCTGTCTCTCTCTGTCTGTCTGTGTGCGGCCTGTGGCGTTAGATTGAGCTGATTCTATGCCACTCGGCATTGCGTGCCTGCGGACATTTTTTCCTTTTTTTGGCGGCCTGTCGTGTGCCGTGGTCGAATGCACCACAGCACATGCGTATCTGTGTGTGGGTGTTGGTGGCTGGCTATTTGCACGACTGACTTGACGCGCTCTGCTCTGTTCGGCGTATTGTCGTCGTGTGTGGTTTTCGTTGGCCATTGGGACATTCGTTGGGACATTCGTTGTGATGTCCCAATGGCCAAGGTCGTCAGTTTGTGTGAATGGGAGTCACAGAAACAGACACGAGTGACTGTGTTGACATGGCCAAGGTCGTCAGGTTGTGTGAATGGGAGTCACAGAAACAGACACGAGTGACTGTATTGACACATCAACAGTTGTGACTCTCGAATCCGTCAGTTGCGATTCCATCCATCTCTTCCACTCATTCTGTGTACGTGATTGGTGAATCCAGATAGACGGCGCTTATAGACGACACGGCCGCCTCGAGGCAGGCGTATTCTCTTAGTAGTCTAAGACAGAATGAAGCACCCGCGTCGCGGCGTCTCGGCCCAACTAAAGCCACATCCCGTACCCCTCTCCTTCCACTAACCTTTCATCCAAACAATCACCACACACACCTACCTTACGCCGTGACTGTGGACACAAGGGCCGTCAGGAATGCAGGCAGGTATGAGACAACAAGGGTGCATGTGGACGTATTACTGACTCGATTCGCGCGTGGGACGTTCCCGACGCTCGGTGCTGGATCCTACATGCTGTGCAATTGCAGGCGGAGGTGAACGCAGCTTAGCTCGACATGCCTCGTCCCGTGATGCTCTGGCGATGAGCTGGCAAAGCCGATTGAGGTAAAGAGAAGGCAAATTGACAGAGGGGGCAAACTCCGGATGAGTTGCCCTCCTCCGTCGGGGGGTCGGGACTCGCTCCGCGTCACCGCGTCGCGAAATGCATGCAAAGCCCCCAAGCTCGCATGAGGCCCCCATCATCATGACCATTACACGGACCACTAGACGGAGTCGTCGTTTTACCGCGAGCTTTGGCGAGCTTTTGCAGACCTTCCGTGGAAATGTTGCAAACACGCACACCCCCCCACCTCAGGGGCGTCCAGGATCAGCGAAAAAAACGGTGAAAACACCACTACAGGCAAAGACGAAGCGAAGGGACGCATCGATTACCACAGAAGAAGCATCTAAGCACAAGCAGCAGTCCATAGGACACCCCCACGCCTCAGTGCCCTCCGACACCAGCAGAAAAGTCGGCAAAAGGAGCACCAGAAGTGGAGCACACAACAACGACACAGCGACAGCCAAGAAAAGTTGCATCCATTGCCCACACGATTCTCAGCACACCAGCAGCACACAGTAGACCCCCCCACCTCAGGGGCGTCCAGGACGAGCAAAAAAAACGGTGAAAACAGCACCAGAAGCGGCGAACACACCAAGACAAACAGAGAGGGAACCAAAGGGACACTGCAGAAGGCACACAGGAGGCCACACACCAGCGAACGAAACCCATAGAGCACGCTTGGCGCGAGAAGGGCAAAAGAAACGACGAAAAACGCACGCAGAAAGACGCTGCCACACGTCTGCCCCTCAAAGCGCACAAAAAAGGTTGCTTTGAGCACCCAATGCCGTCTCAGTAGCCAAACAAACAGTTATTGCAGGCGGAGGCAGAAAGCAACGGTGAGAAAGGGCACTACGAAGCCGTCTCTCCGACTTCTCCCGCTCTCTCCATAGTGATCTCGCGTCTCTCCAATGCATTCCTTCACATCGTTGCAGCTCTCTCCGCTCTTTTGTCGTCTCTCCACAACATCGTCTCTCCACTACACATACAACGCTAGTCAAGAAAGACGATATCGAATGAAAAAGTCTCGAGGCCCCAATTTGGCCCCAATTACGAACACGAACTTCGGGTAAGAGCGTGCCTCGCTCGCTCAAAGCTCGCGAGTCCCGAATGGCGCCCCTTAAGGGCTACTTGCCTCCTGGAACCGGGAGAGCGGAGGGCGCCCTTCGATAATCGAGACTTAATGGGTGGACCATCAAATGAAACGTTCAGACCACTGGATGAGCTCCAGCGAGCTGTCCAATCCTGGGGTGCTATACCCCGACGCACACGTCGCATCGCGTGCAGGCACCCCCGACACACAAATCTTTATATGTGCAAAAACGTATGCGTCACATACGCAAGAGAGAGACAGACCTATGCACAGCAGCCGGCATGCCACCCACCCACCCACTATGCCGCACCTCTCGACTCTCAACGCGGCTATGAAGACCGAAAAACGCTATCGCTACGTCGTCAGCCCTCGAACAGAGCACCACCTGCACACGATCGAAGATGGCCACAGTGGCCATGTGGGGCTGTGTCGTGGTGTGTGTGTGCGGACATCCCTCACCTGATTGATGCAGTGGTCTGGATGCGCATCTGCAGCTATCGCCTACGTCGAGAGGGGCACCTGTACCTGCATGGACGAAAGGCGATCCGCAGCCCTTATGCTCAAAGCATATATTTGTACCACTGACTGACTGACTGACCGCGTTTCGCTCGATGCCTTTGAGCCATCTGACGATGAGGGCGACCTCGCCGAGCTTGATGTGGCTGCCCAGCACCTCGTCGCTCGCCTTGCGCACAGTCATGTTGTCGGTGTCCAGGATTGCAGCAAACGTCGCACCATTCACCTTCTCCTAGACACGCCATCAATCCATCCATCCATCCCTCTCTCTTGGCAAGTGTAGGTACCTGCCGTCCTAGCAGTGTCCACCAGGTCCCGCAGCTCCTCATCGTGCGCGAATATCGCCACTATGTCGTCGTTGCTAAGTCTGGACAGCTCAACTGTCTTGAACCGAGGCACCTCATCTGCCAAACCACACGCACACACACAGAGCCTCATCGGTGCACCTGTCGTGTGTTGACCGACTGACCCTTCTCCTCCTTTTTGACGCCCCCTCGAGTGGCCGCATCCGCAGCAGCCGACACACGACCTGACACCACACTCGTGCCACATGTGTGTTGATGCAGTGATTGTCCCTCCTCCCCTCTCCCTCTCGTCTCACCGGCTTCCTGTTTGGTGCTGTCGTCCTTGTCCGAGTCCAGATCGATCGGATTGGCTGCACCCCCCACCCCTCTCCCGCCCCCATTGCTGCCGCCATTGGCACCGCCAGCAGCCCCATTCTTGTCGTGGTCCTCCCGCTCTTGTTTGACGACGCCACCAGCACCTGCCTCTCCGCCACCCTCTCCCTCCATCATCCTGTCGTCGACATCAGGAGCCCCACCACCACCACCACCAGCCGCCGCACTCGCACTCGCCAGCGGAGCCGCATTACCGCGGTCAGCACTGTGCGCACCATGGCCCGATGTGGGAGGAGGGGACGCAGACACGGGAGGCATCTGCTCGTCCCGCGAAGCGGCACGCGAATCTGAAGGAAACGAACCAGATAAGACGACGATGCGGCCTCTTTGTGCTCTTGTGTGTGCGTTGGTGTGTGAATACCTGTCCGGCGACGTTTGGTGCTCCGCTTGTTGCTCTTGCCGTCCTCACGCCCCTTCCGCTTGTGCTTGCGGCCACGACGTGGGGACGGGGGATAGGCGGCAGCGGCAGCGGCCGCTGCTGCTGCTGCAGGAGGCTCACCCTGACACGAACAGCCCAGAGATGCGAGTGCCTTCCCTCCCTCCCTCCCCAGCCCACCTGGTCGTCGTCTGGGAAGGGGTGTTCGTTGAGCAGCTCCTCCCAGCCGGTGATGCGGGCGACGCGGTGCTTCTCGAACTCGGTGTTGCGGTACTCAATCGCCGCCCCGCACATCTCACGGGCGGTGTCATGCTCATCCAGGCGGAGATACTTGCAGCACACTGTCGCGTTGTTCCGCTGCAGCCTGATGCAGAGTCTGGTGCACCTCGTCGCGTCTGCCACGCTGATGCCCAGACCAATTTCATGCCCCTCTTGGCCTTGAGCTTATCGAGGAACTTCTGCAGAGCGCGCCGCATAGCTGCCGACATAGACAGGACAAAGACCACATGGACTGGCCACACGTGGTGTGGTGTGCTGTCTGCTGTCAGCGAGTCGTACGTACCCTTACGCTGGCGCTGGGTCTCCTGCTTGAGTGCGTCGGGTGAGCGGGAGGGGGAGCGGTCCATGGCCTGAAAGCAATGAATGCCACACGCGAACACAGAGTGGCATAGACCGCCGGCATGAGTGTCTGTCTTCATCCTACCTCTCCGTCGCCTTCTTCGGCTGATGAGCCCTCGTCGTCCTGACAGGAACAGACGCGAGTACGTTACGACAAGTGTGACGACTGACCACGCTGCGCTGCCGGTGACTGTCATCTATCTAAGTCACCTGCTGTGCGTCACAGTCATCGTCCTCCCCGCTGCAAGGGCTGTCGTCGTCCTCGTAGTCGTCATCTTCGGCAGCGTCCTCATCCTCCTTGGTCGCCCTCTTTCGCACCTTGGCCGCCTTCTGCTTGGCCACCTTCTGCTTGGCAGCACGCGCCGCACGACCATCACTGCGAGAATATGATCCACCCATCTCCTCATCACCATCACCCACACCTGACACACAGACCAAACACAGCACAACTTTCCACAGCCATTCTGTGCCCCTCCTCTCTCTTCCGAACCCACCTCTTCTATTGTTAGACGCTCCACGCCGGCTCGTCACCCCTCCCTTTCCCGTGCCCTCCCGGACCTCGCCCGACCGCTTCTCGACGCCCTGGCTATGGCGGCCGTCATCTCGACCACCGTGACGGCTGCTGCGCCGTGGCTGATGGGCGCCAGCGTCCGTCATCTCCTCCTTGACAGACGACTCATGGGCGGCAGCAGGAACGTCCGGCTCCTCTTCCTTCTTGAGTGACGGTGAGCGGCCAGCAGGGGCGCTTGCCATGATTGATCACAGATCTATGCGAGGAGGAGCGGTATATCCCGCGGTGACTAGCCGCGCAAGAAACCCTAAAGGTGCACATTTAGGGTTTCCTTTTCGGAACTGCCAATGTTGTGCTTCTGAGTCGCGCGGCACAGTATCTCGCGAGCATAGTGCAATTCGATCAAGATCTGGGCCAATGGACGTGCCTGCTCCAGCTTGAGCTCCCTCGGGATCAAGGGGCACTTGCTCCCTGAGGCTCCACCGTTCATGGATGATCAGGGGAGAGAGGAGGATTCTGACCCTGTGTTCTATCTCTGTGTGGGGTGATGGGTTGGGGATGTGTTCTGTCGGCATGCTTTTCTCCGTTGCTCTTGCCATTTCAGCAGAGATTTGTGTGGCCCTGTCTTTGGGGCCTGTCTCAGTGAGTCAGTGCTTGTCTATGTGAGGATACCGGGTTCATTGCAGAGCAGCTGTGTGTGGTTGACTAAGACTGGTGGCTGCCCGGGGTGGCTGGCTGGCTGGCTGGCTGAGTGATCAAATCATTCTCCTCTGAATGACTTGATTCTCTCATCTCCATCATGCATGGCGTTTGTACGAAACCGAGTGTCGTTGGACTATTTTGGTCCAGTCGACACAAAAGCCGCACGGACCGACCATACCCTGCCAGCTCTCACTCACTCACTATGCATAAATGACACAGTAAACATCAGTCGAGCCGTTCTGTATGTATGCACACACAGTCATGTCCTTCCAAACCTAGCAGACACGTATTCTGTCTCAGTTCTGAAAACCCGCCGGCATTACTGTGTCCCTCACTCACTCACCCTCCATCCAATCAGGGCCCTCTCTTCACTCACTGACTAGGCATCACTCACTAAGTGAGTGAGCTCCTATCCATCCATCCACACGCCGGCAATCACCAATTACATACACGTGAGATAGTACGTGATCTATCTTACAAAAGGTGTGGGCGGTGAATGGATGGGGTGAGGGAGAGGGGGCCCCAGTCAATCGCAGCAGCATGTTTTGATGGTGCTTTCGGTGGCTGGGCCACTTGTGCCCCTCGTATGAGCATGAGATATCAACCAATGACATGGCAACGGACAAACAGGTGAACAGACACTCCCTCCTCTCTCCCTCTCCCTCTCCCTCTCTCTCTCTCTCACTCACTCAGAAAGGCCACAGACAAGACACCACAGCAGCACAGCAGCACAGCGCTCCCAACTTACAGCCCAACTCGGTCAACTTCCCTGCATCGTAGGCAGAGTGAAAGTCCACCAAGCCCCCACAAACACGAACATTCATCCATCAATACATGTAGAGAACGGCAGGGAAAGAGAGAGCCAGGAGGGCCGCTGATATGACAGACAGACAGATAGGCGAGGTGAGGTCAGGTCAGTAAGTGGAATGGCTGTGGGCGGTTGAGTGAACGAGATGGCCATCGATTGAGGCCTCCTCTCCTCCACTCACCCAGCCAAGAGAAGCGAGCGACAAAGTCGGCTCAAAGGCAGGCGCACACACACACACACAACATGCACCACCGTACGACGCACCAACACACCCACAAAACATCCCCACCCACAACTACCCCAATCAATCGATATCGGTGCTGCTGTGTTCGTGTCTCTAAGCGCTCACAATGCTATCCGGCTGCTCTAATGTATTGACACAGCGCATGAGAGCCGTGTTTGTGTGGGTATGGGGGTGCCAGTATGGACGTACGCTATTTCGTGCGGTGTGTGTATTGTGTGCGGGGGTCTCTCTGGTGGGGTGGCTGTGCTCTGCCTTTCCTTCCCGTCCGGCCCTCTGCCCCCTTATATAATTCAGCCTGAAAACAGCCGGACGGACAGACAAAGAGACGGACAGACATGTACGTATGTATGTACGTCGTGCCCTCCTGGCAGGCAGAGAGACAGGGAAGATCGCTACAAGCTTGCAAAAGTAGCACGGCACGGAGAGAGAGAAAGTACACACACATGACATCGCTTGTCTGTCTGTCTGTCTGTCGTCTTCGTGGGATTGGTAGATAGGCAAAGGGCAGGCAGGTTAGGCACAGACAGACAGACAGACAGACTGAAGACAGCAACAGAAGCCAAAAAGCCAGGAAGGAAGGAAGGAAGGAAGGCGATCAAAGCAAATTGACAAGAGAACTATACATCAGACAGTCTTACTCAACTCATCTCACACACTCCAATCGAGTGTGTAAGTCAGCCAGCCAGCCAGCCATCCGGTCAGGAAGAGCAGAGTAGATCAAGTCTCACACACACGTGTATGTACGCAGCTTTGTATGTACAACACATGTGAATGTGGATATGTATATGTATATGTATGTGTATGTGTATGTCTATGTATATGTGTATGTGTGTGTATGTACAGGAATACATAGTAAGTAAATTATACGTGTAGAAAATGCGTGGCCGTGTCGTGTCTCTCTTAATTATGACATACATGGGGGTGGCCGGCCGTACTAGAAGGCAGGAAGGGCCGGTCGAACAAACCGACGACTGACCGACATGGCTGACTGACCGACGACTGACGGACTGACATGCAACACACGGAAAAAAGGGCGGGGGTATGTATGTATGTATGTACGCATCCACCCATCAATCACGGCAGCCAGCCAGCCGGCCAGTTGTCAGCTTTTAGTGGACGAGGCGGGCGGGCGAGCGGGCGCGAATGAATGATGGGTGTATGTGTGGGCGAGCACCTTGATTAATTAGGCGTCTCAAGTCGCAACGGATGGCTATCATTATGTATTGCATCACCTGGATGATCACCACACCACAAAACACACAATACATACGACGCCCCGCCTGACCTCACCTCCCCAGCTATCAGACACACATCCACTCATGCATCCTTTCGACTACTGTCTTGTCCGAGGCATCACACACACACAGAGACACACATGCAAACACGCACACATGCAGGGAGACAACGGACGGGGCCTCTCTCAGCAGCCAGCCACATGAACCTGAACCAACCAACCAACCGCAGACCATCAGCAGCCCGGGCCCACAGAGAAGGCCAGCGACCAGTACCTGCTGCTAGACATCGTCCACCATCACATCAAGAGCTATGCACATGCATCATACATACTGACACACACGAAGTGGCACCGAGAGAGACACATGGGCCAGAAACAGAGAGAGAAGTGCGTGCACACATGTTGACCACATATATACACAGGTGCAAGTACGCAGAAAGGTCCAAAAGGGGTGCACGAAAGCTTTAAAGAAAGGCAGCCAGGTTCGGCTCTCCCCATATATTCCCAAACGGTGGCGGGGTATCACACACACATCCGGCCGGAGCAAAACGCCCTCTTGTCTCATCTGGGGCAAGAATGATGTCATAAAACTCCAAATCTACCCCATACACACAGGTGGGCATACGCATAATCCATCTCTGATTCCGTCGTTCTGTGGTATATGTGCGTGTGTGTGAACGTCTTCTAGGGTTCGTGATCCGCCACACGACCCGTTTGCCTCGCTGAAGCTCTCCTTCCAGGGGTTCTGACTCGCAGAAGGGACGGCTGCGGACGGCGCCGGCTGCACATGGGATGAGAACTGTTTCATGCCGAGAACCACCATCGTTCTCCTGCATTGTCTTACCATCACGGAGGGCAGCGACTCGCCGCGGGCGGCGTAGCTAGGCAGAGGGGACCACAGCTGTCGGTGACACTCTTTTTATTTCCCCTGACGGCCCTTGTGTCCACAGTCACGGTGTGTGTGGTGATTGTTTGGATGGATGAAAGGCTAGTGGAAGGGGAGGGGTAGGGGGGATGTGGCTTAGTTGGGCCACGCCACGACGCGGTGCTCCATCCTGTTAGCTACTGAGCGAATACGCCTGCCTCGAGGCGGCCGTGTCGTTCATCAGCGCCGTCTATCTGGATTCACCAATCACGGACACAGAATGAGTGGAAGAGATGGATGGAATCGACTGACGGATTCGAGAGTCACAACTCTTGATGTGTCAATACAGTCCCTCGTGTCTGTTTCTGTAACTCCCATTCACACAACCTGAAATACACCGAACAGAGCAGAGCGCGTCAAGTCAAAGGAAAAAATGCCGATTGGCATAGTATCAGCTCAATCCAACGCCACAGGCCGACGCAAGCAGACAGAGACAGACAGAGACAGAGAGAGAGACAGAGAGAGAGACAGAGGACAGGATTTGCCATCCTGCCCCTCGAGAGTTTTCACCTGAGAGGCCAGCGAAGTCACCACTTCACCCGTACGTATCGCTTACAGCGCCCTCACGCACTTTTCTGTTCATTCCCACAGCACACCGCTCGTCGTCACCCAGAATGGCGGCAATGGTCATCAAACGGATCACTCCCCCCCTCTCAAGCTGCCAGAGTAGAGCTCCCCCTCCCGCCTGCCACACAAGCCACCAAGAAGGGAGGGCGGCGCGCAAAAAGACAGCCACCAACGCCCACCAGACACGTGTGCAATACATCTGACCACGACGCATGCAATCACGCACAAATCGCCAGTTTCACACAACACGACGACCTTGGCCATTAGGACATCGGCCAACGAAAACCACACACGACGCATGGACAGACAATACACCGAACAGAGCAGAGCGCGTCAAGTCAGTCGTGCCAACAGACGGCCACCAACACCCACACACAGGTACGGATGTGATGTGGTGCATTCCACCACGGCACACGACAGGCCGCCAAATATACACCGCGCGAGGCGCCCCACATGATAAAACACATGATCATGGCACGTCATGGAAACAGACAGGGCACCAAAAAGGGCGCGTACACAGAGGAAAACTGAGAAAAAGATACGACAGACGGACGCACACAGACAGAGACAGACTGAGACAGAGACAGAGAGAGACAGAGGCCAGGATTTGCCATCCTGCCACTCGAGAGTTTTCACCTGAGAGGCCAGCGAAGTCACCACTTCACCCGTACGTATCGCTTACAGCGCCCTCACGCACTTTTCTGTTCATTCCCACAGCACACCGCTCGTCGTCACCCAGAATGGCGGCAATGGTCATCAAACGGACCACTCCCCCCCTCTCAAGCTGCCAGAGTAGAGCTCCCCCTCGCCCCTGCCACACAAGCCACCAAGAAGGGAGAGCGGCGCGCAAAAAGACAGCCACCAACGCCCACCAGACACGTGTGCAATACATCTGACCACGACGCATGCAATCACGCACAAATCGCCAGTTTCACACAACACGACGACCTTGGCCATTAGGACATCGGCCAACGAAAACCACACACGACGCATGGACAGACAATACACCGAACAGAGCAGAGCGCGTCAAGTCAGTCGTGCCAACAGACGGCCACCAACACCCACACAAAGGTACGGATGTGATGTGGTGCATTCCACCACGGCACACGACAGGCCGCCAAAAATACACCGCGCGAGGCGCCCCACATGATAAAACACATGATCATGGCACGTCATGGAAACAGACAGGGCACCAAAAAGGGCGCGTACACAGAGGAAAACTGAGAAAAAGATACGACAGACGGACGCACACAGACAGAGACAGAGACAGAGAGAGAGACAGAGAGAGACAGAGGACAGGATTTGCCATCCTGCCCCTCGAGAGTTTTCACCTGAGAGGCCAGCGAAGTCACCACTTCACCCGTACGTATCGCTTACAGCGCCCTCACGCACTTTTCTGTTCATTCCCACAGCACACCGCTCGTCGTCACCCAGAATGGCGGCAATGGTCATCAAACGGATCACTCCCCCCCTCTCAAGCTGCCAGAGTAGAGCTCCCCCTCCCCCCTGCCACACAAGCCACCAAGAAGGGAGAGCGGCGCGCAAAAAGACAGCCACCAACGCCCACCAGACACGTGTGCAATACATCTGACCACGACGCATGCAATCACGCACAAATCGCCAGTTTCACACAACACGACGACCTTGGCCATTAGGACATCGGCCAACGAAAACCACACACGACGCATGGACAGACAATACACCGAACAGAGCAGAGCGCGTCAAGTCAGTCGTGCCAACAGACGGCCACCAACACCCACTGTGGCGCATTCCACCACGGCACACGACAGGCCGCCAAAAAAAAAGAGGAAAATATGTCCGCAGGCACGCAATGCCGAGTGGCATAGTATCAGCTCAATCTAACGCCACACGCCGACGCAAGCAGCCTAGCCGCAGACATCGTGACAGGCGACTGGTGAGCTGATAACACACACGCGGGCATTGGCAAAAAGGACTTGCTGGGCAAAGCACATGAATGCTAGACACAGTGAGCTCAGAAGAATCTCTGTACTGTCCCTAGAACAAACATTCACGCCCGTCACCTGGGCGCTGCCCCATCAAATTGCGGGGCTCCACAGCGCCCAGTGAGTCGAAGTGAGTGTCCTGGGGCGCCGGGCGGTTTCTCGAGAGACAAAACAAGCCATGGAGACAGGCGGAAGACGGAAGACATCCGGTTCGCCGCCTGACGCAGACGTCGGAGTCATAGTACCTCTCGAGGGCCGTCCTGACCTGCTCCTCGGTCAGATGCACTTCCTCCAGCGCATAGCTGCGCTTCAGCTTGTCCTTGTGTTCCTTGTTCTCGTTGATGAATGCCCACATGCTGTCTCTGGCCCGCTTGTTCATCGGTATCTTGAAGTGCCTGTAGATCTTCTTAACCATCTCCATGGGACCGTTGATCAGGTCGTCGTAGTGCACGTCCAAAAATTGCTTCTGGAGGTGAGAATTCTTCGCGCGAAAATCCATGGAATGGTCGACCATGTTGGCTATCACCTCAAGCTCCTTCTGGCCCACCGCGTCGAGGTCCACCTCCTCAATCAGCTCCTTCCGCACCGCGCCTACGAGGCTGCACCATGAGGCGACAACATCCTTCGGACTTCTGTACACACACACATCACACACACACACGCGACAGTGAGCGTGTCTGTGTGCAATCGGGGTGGTTGGCGCTGACCTGTGTACGTGGACGACGAGCGCGTTAGGGTATGTCTCGAACAGTGCATCGAGTGCGAATAGCTGGAAGGGCATGTTGAGGAGCCACCTGTTTCCGGCCCGCTGCCACTGCAGGTGCTGTAGAAACCGCTTGTGAAAGGCGTATCCGCGGTTCATCTCTTTGCAGTCGTCCTTGAAGAGCCACTCCTTGTATGCGGGTGTGTCGAACTCCACGCACATACTGTAGGATCTAAAGCAGTGCTCGAAGATCATGTAGTCCTCGTCTGGCCAGTCGGCCCTCTGCGCGTGGATGCGCATCCAGTCGTCGCTCATGCTCCGAACGAAATCCAGCGCCTCTTGCGCAGGGGCCAGCCGGGGATCCTACAGGCGTACACACACACACACACACGCGCGCGCGCGCGTCACCAGTGCTCGTGTGCTCGTGCGGCATGCGGCCCGGTGCTGACACGTACCTGGTCCCAGTCCCATGGGGCGTCGTTGGGTACGTTGTGCGGTCTGTATGATCCGTCCTCGCCGTATGGACAGTACATCTCACTGTACATGGGGGCCCTCATAGCAGGGTCTTGTGCGATCAGCCGCTGCAGTAAGGTGGCGCCCATCCGATCGAGACCCACGATAATCAGCGGCTGTCTGATCTGCTGCCGCTCTATCTCGGGGTTGAGGCGCGCCACCTCCTTCATGAACAGGAGGTTCTTGAACATCTGCCGGGACGTGCGGAACATCGCCAATTCCCCGAGGAAGGACAGCTTCACCTCCTGATTGGCGCTTTTGGCCAGCAGCCGTGCTGGCTCCAGGTAGAAGTCCTCACCTTCCGCCTCGGTCGCGAAGTCCCTGAGACCGTCGGTGTGCTTCCGCGCCCACTCGAGTGCGTGGTCAGCATCGATGATGACGGAGTTGCCCTTGGGAGCGAAGAAGCGAAACTCGATTTGGTACTGGAAGGAGGCCCGGAAGGTGTCCTTGACGGGTGGCCATGCCATGTGTGGGAGCTCGTCGAAGATGTTATGGGTGCGGATGGGGAACGGCTCGGTCCGCTCGTCGCAGTCGAACCAGTAGGACCGCCAGTACTGCATGAGGAGCACGAACTTGAAGACGGGCGACTCGGGACCGCGTTTCTTGACGGCGTCGAGGAAGGTGTCGATCTTGACGCCATAGTACTTGATGCCCAGCTCGTCTGCCCACGCCTCAAGCTGACCCCTGCACACGGACATAGGATACGTCAAATCGATGCATTCGATTGAGCCCTGTTGCCTTACTGTTTGACGACGGTGGTGTCGATGAGGTGGTACAGCCAGTGCTTCCGCCGCTCAAGGAACGAAGCCTCCACCTATACGACGAACGAATGACCGGACGAATGAAGCCCCCACACAAGCTTTGCGACCTACCAGCATCTCAGCAATGGTGTCCACCGGTGTGAAAGGCGCCGTAGACGCGCCGACGGGGAACATGCCCTCCTCGATGGAGCTGACAGTCAGCGCCGTGGCGAAGTCGTCCTTGTTGGTGTACCCTGTCCGCCAGCCGACGAACGTGCTGGGGAGTCGGTACACGCACACGGGCAGGCCCATGTCGCGAGCCTTGCGCAGCACTTGCTCGGCGGCCCACTTGCTCCAGGGGTAGCCCATGCGGAGAGGGGGGAAGAACTTCTGCATCTCCTTGGGGTCGGGGGAGGAGTCCTCGGTGATGAGCCGGTCGTCGAACTCCTGGCTGAAGCAGGCAACGAAGGCCGGGAAGATGCCCAGGGTGGAGACGTGGTGGAGCGACTTGAGGCGGTAGGTGGTGCACAACCGCAAGACGCCCTTGAGGGCGAGTGTGTTGGTTGCACGGAGACGAGCGTAGTTGCTCAGGAGGTTGACATTGCCGCCAGTGTGGTGGACCTGAATGAAGAAACCACACACAGAGAGTACATGTCAAGCCTTCGATCACTGCTTCCCCGTGCTGCGCATGTGCAAGTCACCATGTCGATGGTTCGGCAGAGTTCCACGAATTTGTCTTCGCCGACGCCGAGGTCCTCCTTGGTGAAGTCTCCGGGTAGCGCCTCGATGCGGCTGGCGTACTCCTCCTTCCACACCTTGGCCTCATTGCACGCGTCGCGGATGCGCTGCATGGCGTGCTTCTCGTCGTTGGCCCGCACCAGGCACGTGACCTTCAGGTTCTCACTCCCCGGCCGGTCCAGCAGGCATACCACTTGCAGGCGGCCGACAAACCCCGTTACGCCGGTGAGCAGCACGTTCTTAACTTGCTTGGGGTGCCGCATGGGCAACAGAGTGTTGACGTCGAACTGCAGCCACTCTGTGAGGTCCTTGATGTCGTCCATCGGGTCGACCGTCTTCTCTCGGGGCTTGCCACCGCCCACGGCTCCTCGGATGGCCTCGTCGTAGTCGGTCGCCGCGCCGTCCTGTGCCGCTGCCGGGGCGCCGTTGAGTGGCGATAGCTTGTCGGAGCTGGATACGTTGACGAGGGACGAGCGCATCTTGTCCCATGAGTCGTGGAGGCGCCTGAAGTCCTCCTCGTCCCGCACCTGGCAGACGTCGAGTGCGAGTCGGAGGTCGGTCTCCTGCGCCATGGCCTCGACGGATGGGTACTTAGCCTCGAAGACGTCGAGGTACTGGAGGTAGCGCTTGGAGCCGCTGAAGGCGCTCTTGAGCCACCCCTCGACCGTCATGTCGTGGTTGTCGACCTCCGTGGATGAGGGCGCCTTGCCGCTGCCCTGCTCGTCCTTGGCCGCGTCGCCCGCCGCCGCCAGCCGCTCCCTGTCCACACCTGACACCTCCTCCACCTTGTCGACATCCCCCTTCTTGCCGATCTTGGTCGGCCGCCCGTGGGCAGTGTCGAGGATGAAGTCGGCAATCACTTCGATGGTCGGGTTCTCGAACACCAGTGTCTGAGGCAGCTTGACGCCCGTCAAGTCCGCAACCGAGTTGCGGAACTCCACAGCCCCCAGTGAGTCGAGACCAAGGTCCATGAGTGGTGCGTCGATCGGGGGCTTCTCAGCAGACCCCGACACCTGCTGCGCCAGCGAGCTCAGCAGACCCGACAGGTCCAGCTTGCTGATGGCCTTGAGGTCGATCTTGCCACCGCCACTCTCGGCCGACGCTGCCATGGGGATCTCTGAGAAGAAAGCGGGCATGTCGCCATACCGCCGCAGGAAGGTGGCCCACTTGAGGCCCTGGCAGCCGAACACTGACGGCCCGCGCATACCAGGCGCCAGAGACTGCTGCCGCATGACGTCCCCCATGACACGAAGAACAAGATCGTTGGTGATGCCGCGCATTCCCGCCTTGTCGAGGTGCTGCTTGAGTTCCACCGCCATGCCCTGCTGGATCCACGGGCCCCACTGAATGCTCTGCGCCGCGAGCTTCTTGGATCGCCGGTACTCGGTGAGGGCGTCCAGGCATGAGTTGGCCGCCGAGTAGTTGGCCTGACCAAAGTTGCCGACTAGTGAGGCGACGGAAGAGAACATCATGAAGTGGTCGAGAGGGGTCTCCTCGTCGAGCGACAGCTCGTGGAGGTACCAGGCACCCATCACCTGCACACACACACGAGGCAGAAGCGATGGATGAGGAACACTTCTCGTGAGGGTCTCCTGAGTGTTTGACTGGCTCGCTAGCTCGCTGGCTTAAAAGTGAAGTGACTGTCTGACTGAGTGAGAGAGCGACGGAATTGGTGAGTGCCTGACTGCCTGCCTGCCTGCCTGCCTTAATGGCGCACGCAAAAAAGGATGGGGTGTGTGAGTAACTGGCGATGCGAGTGAGTAAGAGGAAGAGAGAGGGCAGCAGTCACGGCCTGGCTGGCTGCCTCACAACCCAAGTGATTGACTGACTGACTGACTGAATCAGTCAATGAATGAGTCAGTGGGAGTAGAAGCAAGCTTGGGGGTCTCACTCACCTTTGGCAAGTAGACCTTGTCCACCTTG